CAGGCATCCAGCAAGTGCCCCCTTTATAATTATAGAAAATGATGGTGCCTTTGTTTACAAAGTTATGGACTTATTTTTAACTTTGCGCCCTTGGACATGTCCCTAGTTTCATTTGGGGTGTAACCAATACTCATGGCCACTTGCCCAGGTAGTGCAAATTGCCATGAAGGACAGGTTAAGAATATTCTTAAAAGTGGCATTTGGTTTGGTTACGCTACTGGATTGGCTAGCTTACCCTTTATTGCAATGATTTTATTTATTTTAGTCTTAATCCATACTAAATTATGATAAATCTTTTCTTCACGTGTAAACTACTGAACCGATTTCTTTAAAATTAGGTATATACATAGGATAGTTTTTATACCAAAAATCTGCAGGAAGTTATGATCCCTGCCTTGCCCTGCCCTGCCCTGCCCTGCCTACCCTATCCTACCATCTAATCTTCTCCATCCTACCCTGCCTACCCTACCCTATCATCTACCCTATCCTACCTACCCGATCCTACCTACCCCTATCATACCTACCCTATCCTACCTGGACCCTATCTACATACCCTACCCCATCATACCATATCCTACCCTAACTTTCCCTACCACACCCTCCCCTACCCCACCCTGCCTCTCCCTACCCTACTCCACCCTACCCTACCCTGCCTATCCTATCCTATCCTATCCTACCCTACCCTACCCTACCCTACCCTACCCTACCCTACCATCTACCCTTCTCCATCCAACCCTGCCTACCCTACCCTATCATCTACCCTATCCTACCTACCCGATCCTACCTACCCTATCATACCTACCCTATCCTACCAGGACCCTATCTACATACCCTACCCCATCATACCATATCCTACCCTACCTTTCCCTACCACACCCTACCCTACCCCACCCTGCATCTCCCTACCCTACTCCACCCTACCCTACCCTGCCTATCCTATCCTACCCTACCCTACCCTGCCTATCCTATCCTACCCTACCCTACCCTATCCTACCATCTACCCTTCTCCATCTTACCCTGCCTACCCTACCCTGTCATCTACCCCATCATACCATATCCTACCCTACCTTTCCCTACCACACCCTGCATCTGCCTATCCTACTCCACCCTACCCTACCCTGCCTATCCTATCCTATTCTACCCTACCCTACCCTACCCTACCCTACCCTACCCTACCCTACCCTATCCTACCATCTACCCTTCTCCATCCTACCCTGCCTACCCTACCCTATCATCTACCCTATCCTACCTACCCGATCCTACCTACCCTATCATACCTACCCTATCCTACCAGGACCCTATCTACATACCCTACCCCATCATACCATATCCTACCCTACCTTTCCCTACCCCACCCTGCATCTCCCTACCCTACTCCACCCTACCCTACCCTGCCTATCCTATCCTATCCTACCCTACCCTACCCTACCCTACCCTACCCTACCCTACCCTACCCAACCCTACCCTACCCAACCCTACCCTACCCTATCCTACCATCTACCCTTCTCCATCCTACCCTGCCTACCCTACCCTATCATCTACCCTATCCTACCTACCCTATCATACCTACCCTATCCTACCAAGTCCCTATCTACATACCCTACCCCATCATACCATATCCTACCCTACTTTTCCCTACCACCACCCTACCCTACCCCACCCTGCCTCTCCCAACCCTACTCCACCCTACCCTACCTATCCTATCCTATCCTATCCTATCCTACCCTACCCTACCCTATCCTACCATCTACCCTTCTCCATCTTACCCTGCCTACCCTACCCTTTCATCTACCCTATCCTACCTACCCTACCCTATCCTACCTACCCTATCCTACCTACCCTATCCTACCTACCTACCCCACCATACCATACCCTATACCCTACCTTTCCCTACCATACCCTACTCTACCTGTCCCTACCATAACCTACCCTACCCCATCCCACCCTACCCTACTCTACCCTACTCCATCTTACCCTGCCTACCCTACCCTACCATCTACCTTACCCTAATTACCCTATCCTATCTACCCTATCCTTCCTACTATCTATCTACCCTATCTTACATATCTCACCTTTTGTACCCTACCAATCTTCGTTCATTATGGAGTAATAAATAGTGTAATTAACACGTCTCTCATTTATGTACAACAGTCACTTTCTGCAATTTTTAGTTTTAAAAACTTTCCTATGTCCGTACTCGGGTTCCTAACTATGTACATCTGTACCAAATTTCACACAAATAGGTTCAGTAATTTAGGCGTGAATAAAAGACAGACAGACAGAGTTACTTTCGCAAATAATCGTTTGGATGATTGTCTTTGAGACCACATCGTTCACCACTACCTTAAATTGCTTGTAATTAAATTTTTGCTCCACCTGACGCTAAGCAATCAAGAATGCTATTTCCAAAGCCAGTATGTGACACTGATATAAAAAGAGTAACCATGGAGTTTCTTGCTCGTCCTTCTCCATCGGAATCTACACTTTGGAACGAGCAAATAGCTTCACTAAAAGGACTGACCGACAGACAGACACTTTATATCTTTAAATTTTGTTTGACGTTCAAAAGTGCCTGTAATGTCCTAATTGAAATAAATGATGTTGACTTTGACTTGACTTGAATCAGTGCTATCCATGGACACCCGCAGTATTGGAGGAGTTGTTAGTGTGTTTCCGACCATTTGGGGATTACGGTTTTGGAAATTTAAGGATTGGGCCTCCGGTAAAATCAATCACACGGCGAAACACAACGCTGTGGTTAATTGACACCGATTTTATGTGAGGCCGTGGTATCACTCCGGTCGAGACGAAGAATGGTCGTTTTTCATCATGATTCGCCTGTAATTGTTCCACTGCTAAGCAAAGACAGAGGTGTAAAGACCTCTGCCAGAGTCCTCTCATCTGAACTCAGACCATAAAATCATTCAATTTGGTGATAAAACATTTTTCATCAAGCAACCGGTTAATAAAACTTCGTTAGTGGAATACTTGACAGGATTAACACTTTACCACTACGGTTTTAAAGAAGGTCGATAAGAAGAATTAAAAAAACCTCATCAAATAACTTCTCCCGTCCTTTGTGAGACTAGAGGAGTGTAAGATTCTTACTGACTAAAAACCACCCCGTTCTTTCTCCTGCTTTGAGTCGGGGACGCGATACAAAATGGCTCTCGCTGCCTCAACCCCTTCTGGACATAGTGGACATCAACTCTAGTGGACTTGTTGTGGTCTTTTTTTTGAGGGGAAAATCTTCAAATGTCTTCTCCCACATAAGTTAGCAGACACATAAGTTTTATTTCATGTTCTTGTAACGTGTACATTTCTACAGAGAAAAGACAGAAGTGAAACGAAATGTTTTACCAACCTTCGCTCACTGACACATTCATTAATTGAATTGTAGTCAACCTAAACATTGCGAATAAACATTGCGAATAAACATTGCCACATTAATAGCTGTGTCCCATAAAAAACCTTAAACGTTTTTGAATAAATCCTTATACCTGAGAGTTGCAGTTTGGTCGTCGTCGTTTGGTCATTTTGGTGTGTAAAAGTAAAATCTTTGGGTAATTTACTAACGTTTTCTTAGTTATGAAAAATTCGCCAAATCAGCCCCAAGGATTGTAAGATTTGAATTAGCACATGTAGTTGCGCGTTGCAAAATATTTACATGTATTGTATGGACCATATCGAATTTTGTAAGCGCGCCATCTTTTGGTTTATTGTTGGTACTACCTTTACTTCTGTTGCAGCTATAGATGTCGACACATGAGTTAGTTTTGTTAGATGGTTATGTAGGGTGGATAGCGAATTAATAATATATTATTTATATATATATATATATATATATATATATATATTAAGTTCCTATATCCCCTAGGTGGGGCAGAGGGCTTCCACAGTATTTCATTTACTGTTTCAGTTTCTTGAATCGGTTGAGTTTAGACAAGTAGGTGATTAGCCCGCTGTGTCCTAGTCTGCTGGCGGGGCTGCCACCTCCGAGTGTGCAGACACGCTCGGTTTTATTCGGGTATCCTCCCTAGTGACGGTTCTGTTTTTAGGCGCAGAACACTCGCCCTGTGCCCTGCATCATTGGCAACTACAGCTCGAGATGGCGGTCGCGCGATAGCGCGGCTGTAGCCGGTCCCAGGGTGGACGACGGGGACGTGGATGACTCGGACTGGCTGAGGCTCTGCTTTCTCTAGTGTCCCGCACATTGACACAGCAGATGGATGTTAATGATTTATGATTGATGTGATAATGTTGTTAATGACATAAAACTTGATGTATTGAATACTTGTCTGCTCTTAGTGGTGTTATGCGCGAATCGATAAAAATGATACTGAAGAGTAAGTATAGGCAGCAGAGCAGATCGACCTATCCTAGTCTGTCAATTTTTCTATTAGAATATCGAATATCGAATCGAAGACAAGAGCTGGGCCTCTGGCTGGCGAGTTAGGTGTCGCGTGCTCGATCCTCGCACGGAACAACTCTTTATGTGATTTACAAATTGTTGTTCCGGGTCTGGGTGTGATGTGTATGTGGAATTGTATATTTATAAACTCACTCTGTTGATATTTTAATACAACCTAAAAGAAAATCCTAGTGTGGGGTAATATTGATTTAGATAAAACAATAAATAAAAGAAGTAGTATCGCTTCGCTCGAGTTTCCATTCGTGCCGAAACATGGCGCATGAAATTTGACATAATGGAGAGGGAAGACTCACATTTAATTAGGCTCGACAATTTTTTGCGTTTATTTAGGTAGTTGCATTTGAAACTTTTTGTTTTGACTGACTGCACGGTCTGTGCCGTGGCCGGGCTACTGGCTGCTGTGCAACGTGTCGCGGGTTCGATTCCCGCACGTAACAACTCTCTGTGTAAACCACAAACTGTTGTTCGTGGTCTGGGACAGCCTACGACACAGGAGAAAATCCCAGTGTAGGGCTACGTTTTTTTTTAATAAATACTTGTTTTAATGTTTGTCTTTCTTTTGTTCTAGCGGTGACGCAAACCTTGATCACTGTCGGCTCTACATCAAGAACATACCCAAAGGTCTGAATGAGGAAGGTCTTAGAGCGGCTTTCGCCAAGTTCGGGACTCTTGTCGAAGTGTTCCTCAGTAAGGACCCGAATAAGAACTATGGACTTGTCAGATATGAGACAGCTGGGTAAGTTGAATTGAAGTGTATATTGACAAACGTTCAACTGCACAGTTGATTCGGTTTCTTGCAACGAGTCCTGGTTTAGATTCCCGCACGGAGCAACTCCTTGTGTGATCCACAAATTGTTGTCCGGAAAATCCTATATTGGGCCACTTTTTCTAAAAAAGGCAAAAAAAAGGAAGCAGCCGTCCCTGTCCATCACTGCAACACCTAAGTGAGAGCATAAGTGCTTTTCAAAGCTGGTTTTTTGGGTTCAAAGATTTTCGTTCTTTCGTTTTTTTTTTATAATTGGTCGTCAAAAGTGCAGACGGATTACCTGATGGTAAGCAATCAGCGCCGCCCATGCACACCCGCAACGGAGCAGTTACGAGGGAGATAGGAAATATTAATTTGGAGATTTAGGGATTGAAGAGGGATCGGAGGAGGGGAAGGATTTGGCCTCCGGTAACCTCACTCACACGGCGAAACACAACGCTGTGGTTGTTTCACGCCGGTTTTCTGTGAGGCCGTGGTGGGCCGTGACACCGGTCGAGCCGGCCCATTCATGCCGAAGCATGGCTCTTCCACACTTTGCTCTTATCGTGAATTGGGGAGGAAAATGAGGGAATCCATTGTCCAGCAATAGTCCATAACATGGTGGTCTGCTCATGATGATTAGCAGTCAATTTTTTTTGGTGACGTTGTGTCTTCAAACTCTTAGCCAAAGAGGCTTTTGCTCAGCTATGGGCACTTAAAGGCTGATGACGATGATGAATGAATCCTCCCATTGAATGGGCTAGCATGACCGGATTGGTAACACGGCCTCTTTTAATACCGGCATAAAACATCACTTTGTGTTTCGCTGTGTGAGTGAGGTTACCGGAGCCAATCCTTCTCCAAGGACAGAGGATTTGAAGATTGAGGATGGGGACGCATTTGTAACTCCTTTGGAATAGCGAGTGTCAACGGGCGTCGTTGATTTGCTTACCTTCAGACGAACCGCTATGGAGTCATGTAACCCTTAAAAAAATTCAATCAATTGAGCTGAAATTTTTTATAAACGTTTAAATTGCATCATCATAAAAATTGTTTCCCGGTACTTATTGACCCATCCGATATATTATGTTTTTAAAAGATTTTCTTCATTTTTTTTTATTGACAGAGAAGCAAAGTTGGCGATGATGAAGATGAACAGGACGGAGCCGTTGAAATTGTTCATCAATATCGCTTATAAGGTGAGTTTTATATTTATGGCTATCGACAGTCAATCGTGACGCTCAGAATAATAATGAAATGATTTATTTTTTGCATTATTCTTTTGTCTAGGTATTTGAGAGAGGTTAGCTCGTTAAGTAAACAAAAACAAATTATAAAAACAATAGTAGCTCCTTAAATAAGAATTCAATTTTATGATAATACTAGCAGCTCGCCCCTGCTTCGCACGGGTCTCATCATCTCGCTTACAATGAAAGGGTCCCTATTACCCAACTCTCCCCTCTACTTTTCTAAAATTTTCTTTCATAAGAACCTTCTCCTGACAATAACAAACACAACAAAAAAAGAATTAGCAAAATTGGTCCAGGCATTGTTGAGTTATGCGCTTATCAACACATTTTGCGATCCATTTTTATATATAATAAATGGTCTAATGGTAACCGCTAAACCGGTTTTGTGGGAAAATATTGTTAATTAAACAAAGTACACTTTTGTGATTTTCAATAAAAAAAAAGACTTTTACCGGTGAAAAGACATCCCGTTCCTTCTCCAGCTCCGAGCCGGAGTGAGATGCATTATTGCTCTTCTTACATCCGCGATCCTGACTGGTGTAGTTGTTAATGATTATTGATCAATTTTATCTATACAGGGTGTAAGGGACAGCCTTCCGCAAACTGATAGGGTTGATTCAGCATATCGTCTTAAGTTGACCGGTACATGAAATTATTTTAGGAACGTTATGGGAATCCAATTAAACCGATTTGTTTCATTACCTTACACGCAATGTATCGCTACCACCGCAAACGCACGCAGCGAACGGCAGCGCTTTTAGTATTATTACTTTACACTATGGGCAGCGCCGCGACCTTACGTTCAGACAAACGGTCGCGCTCGCGCCACGTTTTAATAACAATAAATTATTATTTAAAAGATAGCCGCATTACTTACAAAAGACAATGTAATAATCGCGCTAGCGCCACGTTTTAATAACAATAAATTATTATTTAAAAGATAGCTGCATTACTTACAAAAAAAAATCTTACAATCATAACATGGTAACTGATAAATGATAAAAAAAGAAAAATGCGTAGGTACCTTAGAATCGCTCCGGTTTCCGGCTCTGGAAAGCATTTGTGATGCGGTCTCGCATTTCGTACTCACTTGCACACGCACTCACAAACACTTTTTCTTTTACGTAACCCCACAAAAAGGGGTCCAAATGGGTTAGGTCTGGGGATCGTGCTGGCCACGGTTGCGGTCCAAACCTACCTAAACTACGTTTAAATAGGAAAGCACTGGTAAGTGGTAGCGTCTCGTTACGTTAGCGAACCAATTCCAAAATCCACGTAGGTATTGGTCTTCCGGCGCCTTTTTGTCTGGGATCAATGGGCTGGTTTTCTAGCAAGCGTTGATAGTCACCAGTAATTATCCTGGAGTCTGATGGATGGCGACGGTCAGGATACCTACACTAAGTACTACAACACATTATCATCTCCCCATAATCACGCGCGCTAAACGTACCTAGGTAGTAATTTCGCACAATTTCTACAACAAAACTTCACTACACTTCACACACTACATAACTAATAAAACTTAACAACACTACTTATAACAAAACTTTTAAGCCGAATGCGCGAGCGATCCGTGCCGACACACGCTCGCGGTACACAAACAATAACATCGCAGCAAGGCACAATGGCGACTGCATGTGATGAGACACACACAAACATAAGTCTGTTGTTGCCAATTACACGAAAACTACAAAATTTCGGGGTAAAAAATAAAAAATTATGCATGGTCGTAATTTATCATTCTGTTATTTTTTGTAGAGAAATGAATTGATTAAATCAATTTAATTCTAATTTCATTGTTTAGTTAATTTAGAATAATAAAAGTGCAGTGTGATAGAAAGCTGTGCTTCCATTCCAGGGAGATTGTGTTTAATTTCTCGACTATCAATTCATGGCTATTGTGAAGCCATGTAAAAATCTGTAAGTAGTTTAAAAACTAGCCAGTAATCGCTTAAAAAGAACAACCTATTAATAAATTAGGTAGTATTTGTAAATGCTTTAAAATGAAAACTAGACTAATCTTTATTTATTTCTTATTCAATTTATGTGCGCGACAAGATTTTCATTAATTTATTAATGAAAATCTCATCAACGTAATTATGAATGCAAAGGAGTTCTCAAGTTTTAGATAAATTTCGCTAGTTCTAACGTTTTCGTTTACTACCTGAGGTAACAAAAATTAAAAATTGGCAACACTGGTTCAATCGGGCAAACATTGTGCAAAGAATCGGGGAGACGGGGAGACGCGGAGGCGGGGCGATAGAAAGGGACGCAGCTATTCTGTACGTTGGACGGGATCGTAGGTATTATACCTACGGCGCGCGGCGCGGCGATCGGCGCGGTGGGGCGCCGAGCCGCTGCGCCGTGACCGCGGTGCGGTGAGTTCAAACGACTCGCGCTAGGTAGAAATTGAACAGCTGATTTCATGCGTAGTTCTTTAGAGAATTCACACAACCATTGCGTATTTTTTTGTTTTAGCTGTGTTATTTACATTAATGTTTTTCTTCATACATAGAATGTAATTATACATTGAAATAGAGGTGTAGGAACTGAAAAAACGAAAAAAAAATTGAAAATTTTCCTGAAAGAATTTTCACTGGAATATGATTCAGAATAAGGAGCTGAATGCACCCTGTTAATTTGTGGAGGGCTGTCCCTTACACCCTGTATTATCTATATTTTTTTGCAGTCAAACGCTAAAGTCAGGTCGAACAAGTCGTATCCCGATAGAGGAGAAAGGAACGTTAGCGGGAGAGATAGAAATGATAGGAACAGCGTGAACAGGGATCGCGATGAGAGCGCTAGTATCGTCAGCCATGGGAAGAACTCACGGTAAGTGATCGGCTCAAAAGCCCCATATCTAATTTTTATTCTTAAGGTATTCTCGCATAGAAAATGAAAGAATGCTCCAACGGACGATGGACAATCGTTGCAACAGAAGAGTTGCAGATGCCTTGCTAGCCTTTTTAAGGGAGAGCCCAGCTTCAGCTCGACCAGAGAGACACTACGACTTCACAGAAAACATGGTGAAACAACAACAGCGTTGTGTTTCGCCGTGTGAGTGAGGTTACCGGAGGCCCAACCCTTCCCCTCTCCCAATCCCTCCTCAAACGCTAAATCTCCTAATCCCTAATCCCTAAAAGGTCGACAACGCACTCGTAACTCCTCCGTTGCGAGTGTCCATGGGCGGCGCTAATTGCTTACCATCAGGTAATCAGCCTGCTCGTTTGCCGACATATTACATAAAAAAAATCGAGACACAATATAAGAACAATAGGACTTAAAGTATAGCTCAGTGAAATGTGTTGGTGATGTTCCGGAGGTTTATGCACCTTACAAGTACCAATGTCACTTATTCCGATTTATATGTACGTTCTATGATTATTTATACACCACTGACATACGGTGAAGAAAAGCATCGTGAGTAAACCTGGACTTATAAATTCTAATTATAAGTTTGAAATCGCCAACCCGCATTGAGCAAGCGTGGTGATTAATGCTCAAATCGTGTGAGAAGAGGCTTTTGCTCAGCAGTGGGCACCGAAGGCTGCTACAAGTATATGCTCCATTTCAATAAAGTTTCTTTATTTATAATGAAATAAATATTTTTTGTGTGAGTAGGCCTTTTGTTTTTTTTTCATCCCCAATGAAATAGGTACATACGGTCTATCGGTATAGGTTAATAAAAATAAAGGGTTTAGGTAATTGACAATTTTTTTTTTAATTGACTGCATGGTTGGTGTGGTGGCTAGGCAACTGGCTGCCGTGCAACGTGTAGCGGGTTCGATTCCCGCACGGACCAACTCTGTGTGATTCCCAAATTGTTGTTCTGGGTCTAGGTGTGATGTGTATGTGAAATTGTATAGGCCCGATCCCTCCCCAATCCTTAAATATCCGAAACCCTTATCCCTAAAAGGCTGGCAACGCACTCGTAACTCCTTTAGTGTTGCGGGTGTCCATGGGCGTCGCTGATTGCTTACCATCAGGTGATCCGTCTGCTCGTTTGCCGATCTATACCATGAAAAAAAGAATTACAATGAAAAATAACACTTCCTAATTCTATAATAAATAGTTATACATAACTAGCGACCCGCCCCCGTTTCGCACGGGTCCAACTATCTCGCTATCAAAGGGTCACTGTTTCCTAATCTTCCCCTCTACTTGTCATTGACAAGAACCTTCTCCTGACAATAACGAACATAACAAAAAAAAAGAATTATCAAAATTGGTTCAGGCGTTGTTGAGTTATGCGCTTACCAACACATTTTGCGATCCATTTTTATATATAAGAAGATTTTTATTATAACTTTCGTGAGACATTCTAAATTATTTATTATGTTTTCGGCTTACTCACGTAATAATTTGACGAGATACTCGACTAGTTTCAAGCCAGTATGTAACACTGTTTTGCGTCGACCCGGGATTCGAACCCTACATCAACGCAGCTGCAGGCGGGCGAGTCTAGCGTGCCAACAGTGTCGCGCGCGCCGTCGCTGCCAACACCACGGCTAGAAGAAAGTGCGCGTGAATCACGGCAGAGGGCGCGTTGGGCGCGCAGACTCGAGTAGCCACTAGCCACTACTCCACTAGCCAGTAGCAGCGCGACAGTCGCCGAGTCGCGTGTCGCGGAATGCTGCTCATGAATATGGGCCTCTAGCATGGCTTGAAACTAGTCGAGTATCTCGTCAAATTATTACGTGAGTAAGCCGAAAACATAATATATAAGAAGATTATTTATAAAGATTTACAGAGTCGTGTACACTATAGTAGGTAACAGTTATGAGACGACAATATAAAATAAAAGGCACTACACTATTCTTTATCTGCTGACGTCTATTTTGAATCCAAACTTCTAATCCCTAAAAGGTCGGCAACGCACTCGTAATTTCTCCATTGCGTGTGTCCATGGGCGGCGCTGATTGCTTACCATCAGGTAATACGTCTGCTCGTTTGCCGACCTATTATATGAAAAAAAAAAAATGGCGTGGACAGTCCCTCATTTGTATGACTATTACACATCCGCATCCGAATAAAATCCGCTCTCTTATCGATGTGTTCTTATACAATAATATTTTAAAATTAATAAAACCAGTTGTTTACTATTCAGAATGTTCAAATACTTTAGACTCAATGTACCTACACCACTTTTATTAAACGCGCCATTGGCGTTTTGTACGGCGGCAACAGTAAAACTGTTCTGTATGACAAGAACGCGTTTTAGTAATGTATCGTAAACTCGAAAAAAAGTTTGTATGTAGGGGGTAATCTTTGGAGCCGCTGGTCGGGTTGCCACAATGTTCCTGAGTGCTATAGACTATAAAACATCACGCTACGATTAAATGGAGCCGAGCAGCGGATGAAACCGCGCGAGAATAACAAGTGTAAAATAAATCATAAAAATAAGTTAGTGACAGATCTCATGATAACGAATATAATGACTGTAAAAGAATTTCTGATATTATTAAATATTATATTTTATTAAAATTAATAATTCGATACTGAAATTCAACTTGTTAATGTTTCCTCTTGTAAAAATGAAGATTTATTAGGTTACTATTACTTTTCGAATTAGGTAGGTAGGTAGGTATCCTTTAAATTCGGTAGTTTCAAACTTTTAGCCAAATTACATCTGAGGCGTCATAATATTTTCGCGTCAAGTTGCATACTAATTTCTTAAAAATTAGGTACATAAGACAATTCGAAAATTAAGTGTATCAATTAAATCAAACAATGATTATTATTTTTTAATTTTATTAGCGTCGAAATAAATTAATTCTAAAGAAAACTACACTTAGATTACCAAGTTGACAAAATAACATTAAAAAATTCTCTACGAAAAAGCCGACCAATCACGGCACGGTAGAATATTTCGTTTCTGCTCTGTGATTGGCTCCGGCCGCCACCGCCATTTTACAGATATGGAGGCAAAAGTTATTCGTAATTTGCCTTACTCCAGTGCACTGCTAATTTATCAACTTTAAAGTTTTATTTGAAATAGATTCAGTGAATGATATTGTGAGTGGCGAATAGATAGTTTGTGTTGTGTCTAGTCCATTTTGCGTGTTCAGTTAATATCAAAACGCAAAGTAAGTTAACATTTTTAGAATTGAAATGTTATCCAAGTACTTTTCGTCGATGCAGCAAAATGATGAGTAAGTTTTTAAACTAACAAAGTATTTACAATGTATTAAACTCTGTTACTAATAGCGAGTACAAGTTATCGTTTTGTTATTTTAATTTACTTTTCATCATAAAATCTCCAGTAAAAGATACGTACTATTATTCTTAAACTCGCTAGTAGGTACATAAGTAGGTACTTGAGAACGAAAATTAATTTTTCAGTCATCGTTATAATACGATACTTTTAATCTTTATTAAGAAATTTAATCTTAATAAACAGCTCGGCATTTTTGGCTGATAAAATAATTCAATAGTTCTTGTTGTTCATTCAATTTGTACGAACGATTCACTTGTTTTGGTACGATGTATGTCGCACTTCTACCCTCTTGTTTCTTATTTTAATCAAGTTTAGTTGTTTTGCAAGCCATCTACAAACTATTTACGTTCTTAGAAATGATCTACGCAATGTTAAAAGTTAGTATTATCTTTATTTGAGCTGGCCGAAGAGTAAAGTAGGTACCTATCTACATTTCACTATTGGATACCTACGAACGTAGATTTATTTCGTTTGAATACACTTATTTATTGTAATAAGTAAAAAGTTTGCAATAGCGAATTATTGTGTTAACTATCATTCGCTCTGAATAACGAGTGTTGGTAGATGTTTTGAGACATTTTCGATACTAAAAAATATTTTGTTTTTTGTCTAAAGAGTTTCTTCGCAGTTTTTTACGGTGTTTCATGCATTTCTCTTATATGACGTAATTTGTAGACATAGAATTAAAAATGTAGATGATATCCTCAAATAAATATTTCGGTCAGTGGGTCGTCTTAGGGGTTCAACAATTTCATTTAATTGAAATACCATGTCTCTAACAATAATAACATTCACTGTTAATACAATATTTTGACGATATATACCTATTTAGTTTAGAATCTCTATGTCTTAAATAAGGTGCCTATCAGAATTTCTCTGAAGAGGCAGCAGGCCCGTTTCATAATGCTCTGTATGTATATAGCAGACTAGCTTCTTCACCAGCTGCTCAGCTCCATTTTATCGTAGCGTGATGTTTTATAGCACTCGGGAACATTGTAGCTATCTATCAGTGAAATAATTTTGGCAATTCGACCAGCGGTTCCAAAGATTACCCCTACATACAAACTTACAAATTATACTTCTTTATAATATTAGTATAGATAAATTTAGCAATAACTACTTTATTTTATAGGTACCATGTAGGTTACATAAAGAAGTTACATGAAATCCATATTTCCATTTACATTCTTAAATAAAAACTTTAAGAAACTATTGCCTTTTGTAATTATTCTACATAATATGTGACAATATAACTGACAACCTAAACACAAGTTAATTCTTCCAATAAGTGCTCTCTGGCACTGAAAAACTATATTTGGTTGTCTAGTTTAAGCATTGAAATCCAGATTTTAATGTATAACTAGATTGGGAATAAGTCTGTTTAAGTAAGTAAGTTTTTTGGAAAATGTAAGAGTATGGATTTGTTTTAAAACAGTATACATATTAGAGTAATTAATAATATAGCATAACAAGTCGCATATAAAATATAATGAATATAAAACATGAATGATTTGATGAAACAGTCTGGTGTTTATTCAGATACCACTGATTTATAGTGAAGAAAACTTGTAATTCTTTTTATAACTTTTATTTATATTGTTGACTTGACATGTAAAACAGTTTTCCAATTGTAAAGTGCTGCATAGTGAATTGTTATTATTATTTTTTTCTACTTAAGTACTTGATGGTGCTATGTTTATGTTTTAAATATCACTGAACTATTTAAAAACTAATGTTCGCCATTATGGCGGGTCATAGCTGTGTACAATTTGTGAATCATGTTACACAATAGGTGTTACTGTTGCTTAAATTTGGGTTCAGCCAGCGAAGACTGCGCTAATTTACAAAAACGTAGTATGTAGAGTGCCACTAATCTATAATAATGTTCCTAACTGTATTAACACGTTAAATAGAGACCAATTTAAGAAAACTTTTAAAAAAATACTGGTAGAATAAGCTTATTATAATGTTAATGAATTTTTAAATGATAAATCACTCTAAGCTTACTGACATAATATTATATTCCATTTACTTTATAATGCACAATTATATTGACGAAACTATTGAATTTAATATTATTTTCAACAAACAAACTCTTTTTAAATTGTATTTACTTTGAACCTAATTTGCACACCAGCAATGGTCAAACATGTTGAGCCTTAAATTATTTTGTAACATCTATTTGTACACATGTTTATGCAAATAAATAAATCTGAATCTGAATCTACCACAATAAAGAATTTTGTATTTGTAACTTTAAAATCGCCAATCTGTCTTGAGCAAACTTCCTGAATATTGCCCACTAGCTACTCTCGCGCTGTTTAACCCACTGCTCGGCTCCATTTGATTGTAGCGTGATGTTTTATAGCCTACACCACCCAGGAACATTGTAGCTATCCATCAGTGAAAGACTTTGGCAATTCGATCAGCGGTTCCAGAGATTACCCCCTACATACAAACTTACAAATTTTACCTCTTTATTATACATATTAGTATAGATTACCTCTCCATGTGAGAAGAGGCCTGCACTCAGCAGTGGGATGATTATAATACATGATGAGCTTTTTATTTAACGTGACGTATTTGTTGTTTCAGAATGGCGGACGATGTTCCCAATGGTGACAACAATTTGGATGATTTGTTGCTGGAAGATGATTATGTAAGTATCGAGGTTTTATTCACTATCTACATATAAATATATTGATGCCTTGATTAATTAAAAATCCGTGAGAAAACATGGACTTATAATTTCTAATTTATATAAGTTTGAAATCAATACGCCTTAAGCAAGCGTGGTGGTTAATGCTCAAACTTTGTCCATGTGAGAAGAGGCCTTTGCTCAGCAGTGGGCATGTATAGGATGATTATGATGATGATGAGCCCACTGCCCAGTGGGCACTTATAGGCTGATGATGTATGGTGCCTTAATTGGCAAACTGGATTAACATTGGACAAGAGAATTTAAACACTAAAAGCTTCTCATGTATGAGTGTGCCGGTTCGAAACCTGGCAAGTACCAATGTGACTTTTTCCAAGTTATATTGTACTTTCATTAATTAGACACCACTGACAAACGTTGAAGGAAAAAAACCTGAGTAATTCTGGACTTTTATAAGTTTGAAATCGCCAATCCGCCATGAGCGAGCGTGGTGATAATGGTCAAACCTTCTCCGTGTGAGAAGAGGCCTTTGCTTAGCAGTGGGCACTTATAGGCTGATTATGATGATGATGTTAAAACACTAGAAGAACTGTGCTTTTGATGCGTGCTTCAGTCCCCGTACTTTGCGTTAGAATAAAAATAAAGCTAATAAGAATATGTTTCCATTATCCGCAGGGATTCTCGGACATATTGGACCCGAATCTTCATCTGGAACTGGAAAGCCTCAAGTTGGAACAGTTGAAGGTACGGGAAGAACAATTGCAGGTCAAGCAACGCGTTATATTGTTGAAACAGGCCGAGAGAAGACCTGTAAGTTTTTTTTTTCGTTTTATTTTTTTTAACACTAACTAACAACTGGTGGCGGGATTTTAGAATGTATTTTAATCACCAACGTAACTCTTACAGTGGGTGTTCAATACCCTGCATAAAGAGTTTGCTGAGTTTTTTTTATGAAACTATTAATTTATTTTTGCAAATAGGCCATAAAACGGCACTTTTACACGTTAAAATGTAATAATCAAACTCGGTAGATGAAGCCGGTATTTCTTATCTGACTATTCTGAGAAGAAATGCCGAAACAAACTCTTGTAGAAGACTCTCTGATTAACATGAAATGGGATAGACTAACTGGGTAACATAGTCATTATTGCCACCTCCGCTCTTTCTGTGGGTGCTAAATAGCCGCCGAGCGGCGGCCCTTAATCGCCGTCCTCAGACCCGCGCATGTGCATCATAGTCTTGGGTGAGACATACTCCAGCACTGCAGGACCAGCTCAGCCTTAGTGATACCACGGCCTCACAGTACACCTATGTGGCAAACAATACTTGTGTTTTTTCTTTATGTGAGTTAGGTTACCCGAAGCGAAATCATCTCCCCCCACCTCCATTTCCAATCCCGAATCCTGAAATCCATTAACCAACGCTATGACATGGACATGCGTCCGTTTGGTTACCATCAGGGATCTGTAGACCTACCATGACGTGTTTTTTTTTGTGAGGGGAATATCGTCAAATGACTTCTCCCACCCAGTGCCGGGCGGTACTGTCAGACTCTTACTGACCAAAACACCCCCCTGTTCCTTCTCCTGATCTGGGCCGAGGGCGCGGTGCCTAATTGCGCTTACCCTGCAACCCCGGCTGAACATCAGCTCTATAGGGCCCCGTCTGTGGTGGTCTATTGGCTCTTTGAGGCGCGCGCGGAACGCTACGCGCCGTACGCTCGGGCCTGGTTCTGGTCGGGCGGCGAGCTGCCCTTACTCGCCGACTGCAGACCCGCGCATGACTATCACCTCATTTGATGATTTTCCCCTCAACAAAAAAAAAAGCCAATCAATTGCAACACATGATTTTTAAGATTGTAATGTATATTTTCTATTATTTTAGATGTCGCAAATGAACAACAGGTGCATTCTTCCCGATGGAAAGATCGTGGTTCGAAATGTAGCCGACAGGTTAGTATTTTTAATTATATTTTCGTTCCACGGTATATTTATTCAGTACTAGTCGCCCTAACTTCGCTCGGGCGCTGGTTTTCTTCGTCCCCGAAGACTATGCCGAATTTTTCGTCAGTAAAAAAACTTTTTGCATTGTTTAAGTATAATTACGACTGAAGAATGATTCAATCTGTTTCTATGATACTTAGGAAGATAAGGATGTTTCAGTGATGATTTTTCTCATATACATTCTAGGAACTAGTTATATAGAAAGAAAGAAAAATAATTTACTTGGCACGAACAATTAGGAAAAAAAAGCTAAGATATGTACAATAATTACAATAAAAAAAAAGGTATACAACAAACTAATACAACAATGTTAGCTTAGGAACTAAAATATTTTTTTAAAAAGTGCTTAAACAACAAAAAAATTGAATATAACAAGAAAACAGCATACCCATGCCAAAAGGGTTGCCATCTCAGTATAAGTTGGGCTCATAAGAACCCAACACTGGTTTTCAGTTGGCATCCTTGCAGTGACGTACGGACGGAAGCAACATAAATCTTAAAATATCAAATTGGCATTTGAAAATTTGCGGATGATCAGCTGTCAAATGTATTATTATATTCATTTTACAGTAAAACTATTGAATCAATTGCACTTAAATAATGTCAACAATACTATTTTAATCGTTAGTTTTATTCATATTTGCAAGAAAATTATAATATTTACATTGTTATCATTTGACAGCTTCCGCAACGCGTCGCCACCGTCGCGCACATAGCCAATAAGTGACGGGTCCGCCGCCGTCGCTAAACACACCGCATCAAATTTAATTTAAATTTATACCTTGTCGTATGTTATATAAAGTTGTTTTTTGAATCGACCTTTCAAAGTGTTCCCGTAGCGTCGCGTCGCGAAGTTCAGAAATCGTCTAGTCTTTCATGGGTGACGCCACGACCAAGAGAATGTCTGTAGACAGACCTACAAAACGTAGGTAACAAAATTATCCAGTCTTTAATTTCGCGTCACTTGTCAACTGGTTCCGTGGTGTAGTGGTTATCACATCTGCTTTACACGCAGAAGGCCGCCAGTTCGATCCTGGCCGGAATCATATCTTTTTGATATGTTTTGTTTATTTATGTTTTAGCTTTTTGCAAACGTTATTTTTAGATAATAAATTAAAATAATGAGAGGTTTAAATATAGTTTAAGACTTATTTTTGTAATAAAGGTGATATTTCAACTAGTAGTCTCAATTCAATCCTTATTAACATATATGAAATTATACATTAGATAAAAAATATGAATAAAAACTTCTTAGATATAATAATAATATCGATCGGATAACATACCATGACTAGGCTTTTTAACAGGATTAGGGAATTTTTTTACATATTTATTCATAGAACTACATAGTTTTATGTATATTTTTAGGTTCAGAGAGTAGCTGTCCATAGCATGCACTAAGTAAATAATAAACACATTAATATTTATTTTCAAAACAGTTGTTCACTCATTAATATATGTATACTTTAAAACAAATCTATACTAATATTATAACGAGGTAAAATTTGTAAGTTTGTATGTAGGGGGTAATCTTTGGAACAGCTGGTCGGATTGCCAAAATTCTTTCACTGATAGATAGCTACAATGTTCCTGAGCGGTATAGGCTACAATCAAATAAAGCCGAGCAGCGAGTGAAACCGCGCGGGAGTAGCTAGTTAGGTATATTATGCTTTGAGATTTTCTTAAGTTGTTTTGTGGCGTAAGTGAGTTCCAGTGAGGGTCCAATCTTAGCCCCATTTCGCAAGCTGCTCCATTCTTGCAGAAGTCTATGGACGGCGCCGATTACTTAGGTACCATCAGGTGGTCTTCTAAAACTACCGAATAAACCGTTAAAAAAGAGAGAAGTGTTTAACATCATAAAAATCGTTTCGTAAATAGATTATATTAATATTTTACTTTGAAATAAAATATTGGAAAACATAACAAAAAGATATGATTCCGGCCAGGATCGAACTGGCGGCCTTCTGCGTGTAAAGCAGATGTGATAACCACTACACCACGGAACCAGTTGAGCGGTGACACGAAATTGTGTACCACTTTCTCTTCATACAAGTTATTATGTATTTAATCAATGACATTATAGGTAAAATGGTGTAGTTAGGTTACCTAAACAAAAATCGATTTTCAAAAACGACACACTGATACACACATGAACAATTCATGGCATGATTCAATAATCGCGAGTAAAAAAGGAAACAAATACCGGGTAAGTTCGGGTTACTTTGACCCTGCGGGGTAACTTTGATCCAAACCCTATAACCAATAATAACTGAGAACCAAACATATGTTCGTTTTTCATTGGTTTGAAAATTTGGATCAAAGTTACCCCCCAGGGTCAAAGTAACCCGAACTTGGGTATTAAAAAAGTGTGGCTAGTCAGATCATTTTAATATATTACTTATTGAGCGCTTGTAACCTATATACACCTTTTTACTTATATCATCTTAGCCATAGCGACTTATGCTCGCACTGGCTCGAGGGCACTAGTCTAATATGTAGGAACTTGAAACTATTGCTTAAGGCGTTGGAAGCAGATTCCAGTTTAGCTTTGCGCATTAAAAAAAAACGTTGCCCCGCACTAGGATTTTCTCATGTGTTGGAGGTGCGTTTACAGACAATTTCACATAAACATAACACCTATACCCGGAATAACAATTGAGTAGTTTCCTAGGTCAAAAATAAATTAATTCGACGTTTCAATACCTACAATAAAATATTGAAAAATAACTATAATTTTATTCATCGTGATGTATCGATACACAATATTTTAGATAATTGTAAGCTAATTTTTAACAAATAAATAAGCTATTTGACGTAAAAATACTATGACGTCATACATAACTCAGTTTTTCATACAAATAATAATAATAAATAAACTTTATTGTACACCAAAAGAGTTGACATGCATAGTACAAAGTTAGAGAATCCAAAGTACTGGGTACAAAGGCGGCCTTATCGCTAAAAGCGAACCAGGCAACCTTTAGGTGGACGGAGTATTGTAGTAGTGGGCGGCAGTCTAGGTCTAACAATATAAATATAATAACAAATTTCATAGAAAAGTATCGTTTTTGACATTTGTATTTAAGTATTGAATTTGACTAGATGGAAACTACCGTCGTATTTGTAAATCACCCAAAGAATTGTTGAAAAAAATACTTTTTTCATTCATTTTTACAGGGAAAAATTGTAATTGTAATTATTAACAGTATTTTGTTTTTTTTTTTCTGTCTAGCTTTACCACACCTAACGTAAAACAGGTCAGGTTTCGGTAAGTTTCGTATTGATCAAGTGTGTGTTAGTTGCCTCTGTGTGCTATGCTACAGTTTTTTGACTGTCGAGCTTATAATATGTCGCTTATGGCCAGTTTAAATATAAATAAACTAGCTCTTACCCGTGGCGTCGCTCCCGTCATTTGCCTACCTACCCTACTCTACTTACCCTACCTACCCTACTTTACCTACCCTACTATAACTACCCTACTCTACCTACCCTACTCTACCTACCCTACTCTTCCTACCCTACTCTTCCTACCCTACTCTACCTACCCTACTCTACCTACCCTACTCTACCTAACCTACTCTACCTACCCTACTCTACCTTCCCTACTCTACCTAACCTACTCTATCCTATCCTATTTCCTTCTCCTGGCTCTAAACTACCTCCCTGCCAATTTTCAGCTAAATCGGTTCAGCCGTTCTTGAGTTATAAGTGGTGTAACTAACACGACTTTCTTTTATATATATAGATAAGCTATTGAATGAGATAATATGTTACCTACTTTTCTTGCTTATCTCAGCAATGCGTCAGTCATTTGTTTTTTTTTAGCTATAAGCCAACGGCATCGATAGCTTTGCTATCTCCCAATTTTTGCCGTCTACTTTTGTAATTTTTTTTAAGAACCGTCTTTTAATTGACGCTATATATGATAAAAAAGTCCCTCTGTCCTTATACCCCTATGTATGCTTAAATCTTTAAAGCTATGCAACGCATTTTTATTTGTTAACCGACTTCCAAAAAAGGAGGAGGTTCTCAATTCGACCGTATATATGCTTTTTTTATACGTCCAACTGACACACTTTTTCAATTGCCAGACATTTCTGACAAGGCTAAGTATGTGCCATTACGAGTATTTTAATTAAATTTATTCCCTTTCATTGCACTGCATTGCACATGCACATACTTATTTTATCGTTTTTAGTTATTTTGCATATGTTAGTAGTGAAAATAATAAGCTTGTTCTATTGATGTTCTTTATTTAGACTAAGGGTTTTTCCGAACCATATACAACGAATGCGAGTTTTCCTATCACAACTAGGGTTGCCACCCGTACTTTATAATAAAGTTCATATAATTGTACTCTATACTTTATGAGAACAATAAAGTACACGAAAATACTTAATTTTGTATGATTTGATTTATTTGGGATTTTGAAAAGTCTGTGATGAACAGCGAGATGCGAGATGAAAGAAACAAAGCGTCTCTGAATTTAATAAAGACTGTAAAGATGTTTTAGCAGAAATACTTATTTAATGCAAACTGCAAAAAACATTAAAAAATATGTTTTGAAATATAAAAATGAAGAAAAATAAATTGTACTTCATCTTGATCCCATGTAGGTACTTTTTTTTCTAACGTATAATAACCTATGTTCTTTAACTGCAAAAAAAAGGTGGTAACCCTAATCACAACTTACTGTGAGTCAATGGTGTTAGGTTCAAAGTCAAAGCCAAAATCATTTATTCTTTATTCCTAAACCATAAATAGGTACTTTTGATCATATTCATTGAAAATATCGAATTGCTCTACTAGAGAAAAGCTTTACTAGTTTCTAGTCATAGTACGGCCGTCGTATCTTGGATACGACGGCCGTATTCAACGAGATGCTTATTCATGAGCAGTGGTGACGTCGCACTGCGATATTGGCTGCGCTAATAGAGGTTTTCTCAGTGATTTTAAGTGAGACGTCCTTATATTAAAAAAAAAATGTATTGTCATGATAGTTCATATTCAAAAAAACAATTATATTTTAAACAGCCTGTTTGTTAACTTTTTTTTTAAACTTTCGCGTTATATTTTTTTCGACGTTGCTCCACACTAGGATTTTCTACTGTGTCGTGGGTGCGGTTACAAACACACACATGACACCCGGACCCTGAACAAAAATTTGTGTATCACACAAAGAGTTGTTCCATGCGTGAATCGAACCCGCGACACGTTGCACGGCAGCTAGTTGCCTAGCCACCACCAACCGTGCGGTCAATAATCTGCATATTTATCGCTTAAAATCATTTTCTTTTTCGCCTGGCGCATACTTGTGCTTTCTTAGACCATATTAATATTTAAAATTAAAATAACTCTTCCAATTAACTGATGTGCAAATCGTTGGGTTTTTGTGTCGTATATAATTATATTCACGATAATTTTGTTTTTTTTTTGTTTTAAAAATTGCTTTGTTTCACACACAAGACTTGACTGGTAGAAAATGCCTAGGGCATTAAGTCCGCCTATGTACCTATTGTGCATGAAGTTTTAATAAAGAAAACTTTTTTTTTCTACAGGGATTCTCGAGACGCCGACGTCAGCTTCAGCGCGGGCGCTGGTGATTCGGTGAGTTTCAATTTTGTTAATTATTTTGCATGTTCATTTGTATATGTTTCATAAAATTTGATTCGCGGTAATATGGGATGTTAGGTATACAACATATTAGGGTGTTTTTGCGGTATCTAGCTAGGAAACTACTCAACCGATTTTCATGAAACTTTGTTACTGATACGCAATTTTATGTAAAATGTGAAAAAAAAAAACAAAATTAAGGTTTATCTTATCTTACAACAGATTTCTTCCATAAAAAGTTTTTTCCCACGGCTTTGTGCAATGTTTTGCCATCGAAAACATTGTTTTAATTTAAAAAAAAAAGTTACATAAGATATTTCTGGTACTTGCCAGAAAATGTGTACAAAGTTTCATGGTTATTGGTCAAATAATTTTTGCTCAAAATTGATAAAATTATATATGTATGTATTTTAAGTTTTGGTTTCATTTATTGCTCTCAAGTCTTATCTAACTTGTAGGTACTTTCGTCTATGTGTGACTATAGGGCTTTCAGGTCGCGGATATATCTAGGGCCTCATTTATTGAGACGTGGGTCGTCGTCTAGTCCGCTTGTCCTACAATGTACAACGGACGCACGATGCCTTGCTTTCCCCAAAAGCATCCTTATCGCCATGGAATTAGACTTGAAAATTGAAATCAACTTTCGTTATTTTGTTACTTCTGTTTATTCAATTCGGAGGCTAGTTGGAGGACTTGTATCTACTGATTATTATGCGAAACTAAAACAAAAATACCTCCGAATAGATACACAAAAGGGGTGAACAGATGTTGCCGAATTTTACTAGTATCTATTTACCCCTTTTCTACGTCTATTCACCTCTCGAAATCTACATATGAACCCCGGTTTACGTACCCTAACTAAAATTGTTACTAAAAACAAAATATTGGACCCGCTCGCAAAAACTGTAATAAAATACGGTGATAATTAATACAATACATGATATTTATAGGCAGGTCAGATTTATTATTAACTAGCGGACCGCCCCCGCTTCGCACGGGTAGGTATTTTTTTTTTTTTTTTGGTGTCGGGTTGGAAAATCCTCATGGAGACCCACCACCCCCGGGGAAGGGCGAAGGGTACTGTCAGACTCATACTGACTAAAAACCAACCCGGTGTTCCTCCACTTACCCATGTGTCGGAGGGGCGGGTATCGCCGAAGCATTCGTCGCATCCCCCGACGGGTTTTGGCCCGCCGGATGGTTAGGCGGGACGGGTAGGTATGCGACTACCCCGTCAGTCATTTGTTTTTTTAGCAAACGGCCACAGCACCTAAAGGATTGATTGATATTCTCCTTTACTTTTCTAAAGTTTTCTTTCGTAACAAACTTCACATAAAATTTAAAAAACCCCCGACACCAAAAACATAAGCTACCTATAAGCTATAAATTATGTAATGTCCACGTAACGCGCTTTCATTTGAGACCCCTCTGGACCATATTTATACATTCGGTAATTTTTCCCCACTTTCACCCCTCGCGCGTTCGGGTCTTCTCACCGTCCTCGGCTGGGGGCGTTTGTATTGTATTGTATACGGCACAAATAATTATCAAACATGTCTAAGAACACTCGCACGTAAGTAATCTTTGTTAGGAAAAGAAAACTAATTCAAATCGTTTCATCCGTTCAGGAGCTATGATGCAACAGGCACACTGACAGACACGTCAAACTTATTAAAATTCTTGGTTGAGCCCCACTTGAGCATATTTGCAGACATTCGGTTTTTATTCCCAACTTTAATCCCCCCATAACTTTTAAAATGCTCAATCGATTTTCATCAAACATGTCTAAGAACACTCGCCCATAAAACACCTGTAATACAAAAAAAAAAAAAAATACTAAATTGAAATCGGTTCATTCGTTCAAGAGCTATGATGCCACAGACAGACAGACACGTCAAACTTATAACACCCCTCTTTTTCCGTCGGGGGTTAAAAGTAACGAACATAACAAAAAAAGAATCAGTAGAATTGGTCCAGTCGTTATTGAGTTATGCGCTTACCAACACATTTTGCGATCCATTTTTATATTATAGATTGTAACAGCCTACTAGCGTTACTATTTGTCTAGATATCTATGTAGTATGATGCCAAAATATTTGTATATTATATATCCTTTTGACCGGACTGACAGACCAAATAAATTCTCTATTAGTACTCTGATATTATATCGTTCTCATTATATTGTTCTTAAACGATTCCACTACATTTTTTCTCACATTTTCTATCAGTTTCACATTTAAAATAGTATGTATATACAAACGCTTTTATCAATATTTTCAAGATCAAAATTTACCGTTTGACTGGTTCTTAAGATTTTTTAAGACTGGCATCGTGATTGTGCTTTAGGTAAGTAGCTTCGCTTCATGCATTACCATCAGAGTCAAGGAAATCAACAACGGTGCTGCCAGATACAACACAAAATTGGGGATGGAAGTGTGAAACACGAAGGATTTTCGCTTTTGTTTTTGGCAAAAAGCACACGTTTTGGCCTCCCTAGCATATTAATGGGAAATAAGGAATCTGGCATCACGAAAGTAGAGTAGCGATCAGAGACAGATATCGATACCGATAGTTTTGCTTCAGAACGAAACTACGATATGTTCCTGTAAGGTCAAGACGAAGCGTTCCTGGGAACACGTGCGAACAGATGACGGTAGTTTCACGCCTTCCACATGCGTTCTGTGCTCCGAAGATCGAAGCGACAGCAAGCATTATAGAGATAAGTCGGTCACAAGCAAAACAACAGACAAAAAGTCAGAGTACTCGAGCAAAATTCTCGATAGCAAAACGACTGACGTTAGGAAAAAAACTGACTGTAGTAAAGTAACCGATTCGTTCAGTAGGCGATCAGACGCTACTAGTAAAAAAGATGTTAAACGTTGCGGAAAATGTAGGAGTGAAGTTACGTGCGACTTGAAATACAGTGACTTTTACACAGACAGTGACGACGAAGACGAGACTAATAGACTGATTCAACTGCGCAACGCTGACTATATGGACATAGTTGACGAGGACCTCAAACTGGTAATTGCTCTAGCAGGGTACCCAAAATCAAAGATGAGACTTCGACAAATGGAACAGTTCCAACGAGGCCTTACTGATGTTATCGACATGCAGCTAAAGGCTGGTCTCCTAAAGCGTGTACCGTCGTTCTTAGATTACTATTTGAATCGAGGAGCGTTAGTATGTATTTGTAAAGATGAAGATACTAGGGATTGGATGGTACGAGTCTCCCCTGGTCTTCAAGAAAAGATGTGCACGAACTTGGTTCTGCTCAAGTCGAAAGTCAAAAGACTGTGTTTAGCTGTTCTAAAGATTCCTAGATCTTGTTGGCCGGCCACAGCACAAGATGCATTCAAACTTTTACAGTATTTTAATCCTATGTTAAGGACGAGTCTATGGAAGATTTACGCACAGAAAACTGTTGAAAACGTCGAGTTTACGTCGTTTTTAATTGATAGGGTATCGGGAGAGATTATTCGAGGGCCATCTTTTAAAAATGTAATAGATTATGGTCAAATGGAGTTTGAATTGACTGGGTACACCGAAATCTATTATGAATGTCTTCTCTCCGATATGGAAGAAGATATGAGGAGTGTAGGATCAAGAGCAAAACTTCTAGATGAAATGAAATCGGCAGATGCTACTCCAAGATACACGTCCGACGTTGATGTTAGTGTGAAAGAAGTAGATACAGTAAAAGAAGAGGAAGAGGAAGAAGAGCATACCAAATTAGAAGAAGACACTACTTTTGAAATGCAAGCAGATGACACGAACGAAGTTAAAAAGGAACTAGAAAGCGGTTTACAAATAGAAATATTAAAGAAACTCAAAGATGTCAAATATGTAAGCGATAGAGATGAAGTATTAGTATGGGCGGACGAAACTAACAATTACACTAATGAAGTAGAAAACACTGGCAAAGAACAAGAAAACTTGGAAAATAATATCGCGTCGACGTCAGGTGTAGCAGTCTCTGACAAAACTGAATCTTTCATAGAAAGCAACGATAATCTCATTTCGAGGTGTAGTAACTTGAATATTGATAGTAATAGAGGTATTGCTTACCACAGAAGAACCAACTACTTACACGTAGAACCTGAGCTCAAAGTAGCAATTACTCTAGAAGGATACCCACAGAACAAACTGGAAGGAACCCACATCAGAAGACTAAAACACCTTTTCAAAGAATATTTACATAAAGATATGAAGATGCAACGTTTTGCCAACCTCATTATTCCAAAATTCCAAGACATTTACCTATCAAACGGTGCAGTGATTTATATCTGTGACAGTCTAGAAACTAAAGACTATTTGACGGAAGTCTTACCCAAGTTTATCAACTCAACTGGTTTAAAACTAACGTTCAGGGATATTAAGAGTTTAGTTAGGTACACTAGGATCGTAATGAGATTACCCAAGGAACATGCACATGTTGAATCTGTCGAGATTTTACTAAAGCTACAAGCCAAATATCCAAAATTAAAGCCAGACTGCTGGAAATATTACTCGGACGTAGCTGGGAAGCAGAAAAGACAGTTTGGAGTAGACCCCGAGTCTTTAGAAGTAATAAAGAGTCCCGATTTTGATCCTAGTTACGAAGGAGACAAGATTTCATTTAGAATAATTGATAGACAGAAACGGGACGCCATCTTTGATGAAACGGACAAAGAAATAGATGATGAAGAAGCCAAGAAACAGAGAGACGCAGTACTTAAACAAATATACGTGCCAATAGATCCAGAAATAATGCCAGCTCCCTTAACAAGGATTCGCACGAATCATTACTCTGATCTGATTGCTGACGATCTCAAATTGTACGTAGGTCCTTCAAACTATCCAGAATCAAGAATCGACGAAACGCTATTCCATACAATCAAGAGAACATTCGAGAATATTATTCTAGACGCCCTCGAGAAATCCGAGATGAAAGCAGAGAAAATGCCGAAATTCCACGATATGTATCTGTTTGACGGTGTGATCTTCATCATATG